TGTGTGTGTGTACGCTGTCGTATGCACTGACCTTTGTTGACCTTTTAAAACGAAATAACATCATTTCTGACACAATGGCGAATCTATGTAAACAACGTCCATATGTAATTTTGCTCTTTGTATGTGTGTGTATGTGTGTGTATGTGTGTCTGTGTGTATGTGTGTGTATTTATTGTGTGAGCGTTTGAATGTTTTTTTACATATAAACTTGTAAGAAAAGCGCAAATATTAATTACTAAAACTAAACCACCAACAACTCAACCATCTTCTGGATCCACACCCCACTACACGTCAATCAAAATCGAAATCACGCCCACACAGGAATGGGAGATGTTCCTGATTCAATCGCTAAACTGGGACGTCATAATTACCACAGCTTACGACTTCATTGACGTCATGTTACATAGACTTCCGGTAAATGTTTGTTACCATTCTCTGGTTTCTAGACATGCCCAGACTTTCGTCTCTCTCTGTGCTACTGGTTGGTTGGTTTTGTTGGCTGGCTGGCTGGCTGGCTGGTTGGTTGGTTTGGTTGGTTGGTTGGCTGGTTTGGTTGGTTGGTTGATTGTTCGTTCGAATGGCCATGAGTGATCTCAATGTTGTTACTGCATGTTGGCTTAGTTTGAATGATTGATTAAATGATTCATAATTTTATTATTATTATTATTATTTAATTATTCACAAATTCTGCAGAGCACTACTTTCTCATGTACCCTCCATCCGTATTGGCTGCTGCCACGCTGCTAGCCAGTATCACCGGCCTGATTGGTCAGTTACCGGCCAATAAGGAAGAGGTCGAAAAAACGTTACATTGCATAACTCAAATCGACATCGTGAGTTTTGTTGATTGCAAGATTGAATGGTCGATGAATTTTTCGATTAATTGGTTGATTGATTAATTGGTGAGTTAATTGATTGATTGATTGATTAATTGGTGGGTTAATTGATTGATTGATTGATTGAAATTCTCACAGGATTGTATAAAGGCCTGTCAGGAGCAAATAGAGTTACTTTGTAGTCACAACATCTCCAGCCAGTTTCTGATCGAAGAACCACAATCTCCACCCCCTCAACCACCACCACCACCAATCACACCACCGAACTACGCCATGAAATCGTCCTCCAGTCACATCAAAGTACACCACAGCGATCAGCCAATCACATCTTCTTCCACGCCAACTGACGTCACAGATGTTCAATTAGATTGATTGGTTAATTTGCCGCGTGAATGCTAATTAAAATGAGGTTGCTATTTTTAGACGTCCAATTGGAAGCTGGCACCCGGTTTTGGCCAACCAATCAAATTGAATCTAAAAAAAAAACATTTGACTACCATTGCTGTACTACGGAAAAAGTGTAGTTTATTATTATTTATTCGTGATTGATTGATTGATATTGAGAGAGAAAGAGAGAGAGAGAGATAGAGAGAGGAGAAAGAGTAGTCATCATTTGTCCGCCATTTGTACAACTTCTAGTGAAATTTATTCAGTTAATCACCATTCTATTGTAAATTGTTTCAGATACATTTCATTCATTCATTTTAATTTAAATTCTTTCATTGTTAATGTTATTATTATTAATTATTATTATCATTTAATATAATTATTATTTATTTATTTTCTATGTTTGGATGTTGATGGTGTGTGTGTGTGTGTCTTTGTTTGTGGTTAGTTGATAATTCATAATTATCTTTTAATGTTGAATAAATAAAATTATAAATAAATATAATTATAATTAAATAAATATAATTATAATTAAATAAATATAATTATAATTAAATAAATTTAATTATAAATATATAATATATCGTAATCAGTATGTTGTACAAGCCTGCTTAAGACACAAAAAGCAAATTAATTGAAATATGTGTCTAAAAAAACAGAATATTTTAATAAGAATATTGAAAAGCAGTGTTAAGTTGGAATAGAGCAACTGTTGGATAGATGGATGGATGGATGGATAGAGAGAGAGAGAGAGAGAGAGAGATAAGGAGACAGAGAGAGAGAGAGAGAGTACTATTCTGTTGAAAGCATCGCCATCACATTGTTCCGTCCACCCATCTATCCATACTTATACATAATGCATTGGCAGATGTTGCTATAACTCTAATCAAGGTGTGTGTCTGTGTGTGTGTGTGTGTGTGTGTGTGTGTGTGTATGTGTGTGTGTCAAATTTATATGCCGGGAAAGAATAATCGATAATTGAATTGAAAAATTATTATAATTATTATTATTATTGTTATTGTTGTTATTATGTTTGTTATTATTTCTGTTTGGCTCTCTTGTGTTTCCGTATTTTTTTTCCTCTGGTTTTGAAGTTTTTTTTTTTGATGTTACCGGCTTGAAGTTACTAACGCACACACAGACAAGAACATATATATATACACACACACACACATATATAAACACATACACATATAAACACACACACATATATATATATTTAACAATGAATATATATATATTTAATTAGTATTATCGTTAATTTCTTTTTAATTGTTCCAAATTTTCTCTTGAATTTACTTCTTTTTATTTGTTTTTTGTAAAAAAAAATGATTTTATTTTTCAAAAAATAAATACATTGTCTCATGAAAACATTGTGGTGAATTTGTTTTATCTTTGGGTTTAATTCATAATAATAATAATAATAATAATTATTATTATATCAGTTTAATTATTAAATACCATTAATTATATATTTTCATTTAATTCTAGTTGTTAAGATTAATAATAAAAGTAAGTAAATGAAGCATCAACTCATCCGAGAAGGCGTTCGTGTTTTTCATTAAATCTCTAAATTATAGATAATCTTATAATTAAATGGCCGCCCTATTATTTCTACTCTCTTTCTTTCTCTCTATCTTTTTTTCTCTCTCTTTCTCTTTCTCTCTCTCTTTCTTTCTCTCTAAAGAATAATAAGGTGATTGAAGAGAGAGTTCAATTATTTGTCCACTAGCGAACACAGCAGAGGCCAAAAGTATTGCGAATGAAGTCTGTACGTGTGTGTGTATGTATGTGTTAGTATGTGTTTTCGCGTATGTGTTGTTGTGCATGTCTGTGTGTTTATCCCTGAGTACTTATTCTTCTCTGAGTGTAAAGATTTTTGTATTGTGTTTGTGGTGTATGTGTTTCTTAATCGTGTGTATCCGTATTTATGTGTTTGTATATTTTTATTCATAGTCATCTTATGTGTACATTATGTCTAGCGTGTACACACATTTGAGTATACAATTTTGTACACGCACACACACACGTGCACGCGAATTTGATCCTCCAATGATTTTGTGCCTTGGTGCTGCCCTCCTCTACTGTAAGCTACGGAACGACTGATTGGGATGGAAATAAAAGGAGGAGAGAAAGTGATGAAGAAGAAAGAAGGAAAAATAAAAAAAAGAGAAAGAGAGAGAGAATAAAAGAGAGAGGCAACAGAACAGGTGGTTGAAATCCCCATGTTGCTAATGCAAAGTAATTCTCTGTGTGAGTGTTCATTTATAGTGTTCATTTATGTATGTGTATGAGTGTGTTCGTGTATGAGTGTGTTCGTGTATGTGTGTGTGTGTGAGAGAGAGAAAAAAAAAGACACATGCCTGAACAACACGCTACACACACACACATACACACACACACACAGCTCAGCAAGCAGAAACATGGAAATAAATACATTTTATTGTGTCTGGGAACGATTATCAGATTGTACGTTCATGTGTTTGTGTGTGTATGTTTGTATGCATGTGTGTTTGTGCGTGTGTGCGTGCGTGTGTAAGTTTGTGTATGTGTGTGTATAAGTATTAACATATATGTGTAGTTTATTTATTGTATTGAATTGTTATATTAGGTAGTTTAGTTACATTCATCCATGCGTTCATTCATTCATATGTCCTTCTATCATTCAAACATTTACCCATTCATTCATTCATTCATTCATTCATTCATTCATTCATTCATTCATTCATTCATTCATTCATTCATTCATTCATTCATTCATTCATTCATTCTGTCTGTCATTCGATTATAGGTTTAATATTAATTTGTTCAAACATTCATTAACACGTGGTTTGTTAGTTAATTCATTCCTCCATCGGTTCATTCAACCGTTAATTCATTCAATCAATCATCTAATCAGTAGCTCCTTGACTACTTAATTTCTTCATTTATCCATCCATCCATCCATTCGTCCATTCATTCATTCATTCATTCATTCATTCATTCATTCATTCATTCATTCATTCATTCATTCATTCATTCATTCATTCATTCATTCATTCATTCATTCATTTATTCATTTAACCATTCATTCATTCCACCATTCATTCATTCCACCATTCATTCATTCAACTATCTATCCATCCATTCTTTCTTTTTCTCAATTATTCTTCAATCCATCATTTAATCAAACGCTAATTATCATTGTCGCTTCGGTTGCCATAACAACCACCACCATCATCTCGTCGTCGTCGTTGTGGTTGTTGTCATATCATCATAATCATCATCATCATCAACATCGTCATCATGATTATCATCATCATTATTATTATTATTATTATTATTATAATTATTATTATTGGATTGAAAGAATGGAATTGAATTAACATTT